CCGCAATGTCCGTTGTCCAGCCAGTGATATTACTGTGATTGTTTCTAGCACTTCTTGTTCAAACGGGTTTGCCTTTTCTATGGGTGGTCCACCTCCTGTACCTTGCGCATGTTTTTTTAATTGCCCATTTTTGGCTTTTGTCCTGCTTCGTATGTCTTGCCATGTCTACGATAAAATTAACATAATTAATATTACATTTGCAATGCTAAGATATGTTTTATTTATTACCTTTCGCCAAGCTCGCCAGTTTTTATTGGCCCCATCACCACAACTATTTAATACATTTGCAATCTCTTGCCATTTATTCTGGGCATCGTTTTGCGAAAATGTGTTGGAAAATTTTGCAGCCAGCAAGTTGGGATTTTTTTTCATAAACTCCAGCAATAATTTTTTTTGTTCATCTGAGGCATTTGTTGATCTTTTTACTTTAATGGTTTGCATTTCCATTTTCAAAATACAAATGAAATGTAAACAAGCTGTAAACTGTAAATAACCACAAAATAACCTTATTCCGACAGCAGTGAAGACAGGCGTTTTAGACATTACAGTGTTGCTAAATGTATTTAGACGTCAACAATGCGAACAGTCGCATTTTTTTGCGGACGGTGGTCAAGAATACCATTTTTAGAAAACGTTCGCAAATCAAACCTTCGCATCGTGCGTATACATGCTAATTGCGAGTGATGTCGAGAATAGCGACCCTGGTGGGAGACCTAAAAAGAGATGGAAAGACGAAGTCGATGAGGATGCCAGTAACTGCCTGGGAACACGTTCATGGAAAAGAACAGCGGTAAATCGAAATGATTGGAGAGGCTTGTTGAAGGAGCCGATTTAGGCTGTAGTGCCATTGGATGGGATGGATGCGGTTACCTTTGGTATGCCAGGGTTTTTGATGTTTTTGGCTTAATTGTAATTAAGGGAAATGCCTCATTGAACATACAGACAAGCCTATTTAAAAAATCACTGAAATTATAGTTCACGTCCACAGAAGGAAAGTTCACCCAGAAGTCAAGCACAAATTTTGGAATTTACGAAAGTTCTGGGGGGAAAATCCTACATTGGGTTTTCGACGATGGTTTGTTGAGAGTGTTAAACATGTTATATGCTGCTTCATGATCAGATAGTCCTGCATTATTAATTGTAGAGCGTACATCAAAGAGTGAGAAATCTAAGACAATATAAGTAATTATGGTAAATTTGTTTTAGTAATTCTTGTAGGAAAATTAATGTGCATTGTGAAACCATACGATTCGAATATATTGGTCAAGGATAATTGGGTAGCACAAGCAACAGCCTAATTAATATTTAAGTCACCTTATGGAATTTTTTTTGCTTTTATTGGGCAGGCCATTTAATAAATTTAGTGATGAAGAATTCCACGAAATATTTTCTCGCATACGTAATAGAAACAGCTATGCAGTGACTTTGGAATATTAAACATTTTGAGAAGGATAATTTATATATGAAACCTCAAAATATTGTATTAGGTACTCTCTTAAACAGTAATATATAATTTTTTTACAAGAATATTTTGATTTAAAAAAATATAAAGACGGTACTAGATTTTTGTTTTAATACAGAGCAGAGGCAACCGCTTATACGTATTTCGACCTCTTTAGATCTCGTCAGAGCGGTATAGTCACCTCTCTGGATTAAAACAGAATCTCTTCCCGTCTTAAACAATAGTTAGAAAATATCTATATACGGACGTAACTACGTCATCTAACAACAAAAAGAGAAATCTAACGGTTTCTACCTGGCGAAATCGAATTCAAACCTTGACCACCGTGCTTTCTAAAACTTGCAAAGCAAATAGCTTGATAAATAACTCGACAAGGAAATCTAAGATTGCACTCCACATGTCGTATATCATGGTCAAAATTCGTAAAGAATTCAATATCTGGTACTCCAAACGGAGTGAAGAAATAACATATAAAGACGGTACTAGATTTTTGTTTTAATACAGAGCGGCGGCAACCGCTTGTACGTATTTCGACTTCTTTAGATCTCGTCAGAGCGGTATAGCCACCTCTCTGGATCAAAACAAATTCTCTTTCCGTCTTAAACAATAGTTATAAAATAACTGTATATGGACGTAACTACGCCATCTAACAACAAAAAGAGAAATCAAACGATTTCTACCTGGCGAAATCGAATTCAAACCTTGACCACTGTGCTTTCTAAAACTTGCAAAGCAAATAGCTTGATAAATAACTCGACAAGGAAATCTAAGATTGCATTCCACATGTCGTTTATCATGGTCAAAATTCGAAGGGAATTCAATTTCTGGTACTCCAAACGGAGTGAAGAAATAACATATAAAGACGGTACTAGATTTTTGTTTTAATACAGAGCAGAGGCAACCGCTTATACGTATTTCGACCTCTTTAGATCTCGTCAGAGCGGTATAGTCACCTCTCTGGATTAAAACAGAATCTCTTCCCGTCTTAAACAATAGTTAGAAAATATCTATATACGGACGTAACTACGTCATCTAACAACAAAAAGAGAAATCTAACGGTTTCTACCTGGCGAAATCGAATTCAAACCTTAACCACCGTGCTTTCTAAAACTTGCAAAGCAAATAGCTTGATAAATAACTCGACAAGGAAATCTAAGATTGCACTCCACATGTCGTATATCATGGTCAAAATTCGTAAAGAATTCAATATCTGGTACTCCAAACGGAGTGAAGAAATAACATATAAAGACGGTACTAGATTTTTGTTTTAATACAGAGCGGCGGCAACCGCTTGTACGTATTTCGACTTCTTTAGATCTCGTCAGAGCGGTATAGCCACCTCTCTGGATCAAAACAAATTCTCTTTCCGTCTTAAACAATAGTTATAAAATAACTGTATATGGACGTAACTACGCCATCTAACAACAAAAAGAGAAATTAAACGATTTCTACCTGGCGAAATCGAATTCAAACCGTGACCACCGTGCTTTCTAAGCAGTGGGACTAAGCATCATCATCATTATTTCTTTACTGCGTTTGGAGTCCAGAAATTGAATTCACTACGAATTTTGACCATGATAAACGACATGTGGAATGCAACGTTAGATTTCTTTGTCAAGTTATTTATCAAGCTGTTTGCTTTGCAAGTTTTATCTTTTATTTCCGCATTTAAATAAATTTGTAGTCTATATTCTTCCGGATTACTTTTTTTAGTATTTTTTTCTTTGACATGTAATATCGTAATAAATATATTTATTAACTATTCTTGTAATTAGAGTTCTTTGATACCTTTTATATACTTTGATGTTCATGCTTGTCCCCTCTCTCATGTGTGTGTTTATTTTGCTATAAATATGGTATAATTAAAAATACAGAAAGTAAAAATGAATTGTCATCGTATTAAGCTGTAGCATTTGCATTTTCCTTGATATATAAATTTCTTGGTATATATTGGAATCCCCTCGTATATATATTAATTGAAATCCCGTCATATATATATATATATATTAAAATAACGAAGAGTGTTTTCCATGTTTTTCTGTTCCTATCGTACGAGTTAAAACCCGAAATATATTTCACTTCCTTTTAAACATCGCAGAGTTAATATAAACAAATTTTATAGTTGTTTATATTTCACAGTTGCGTATTTTCCTCGATATCTCGAGGAACCGAAGTATCGAATCGCGCGATACTGCGTTTTCAAATTAATATTTTGCGTTTCAGTTCCCGTTGTAAGTGTTTTATTTATTCCACATTATGCGAATGAATTTTAAAGATAATTTCATCACTCTCACTGAGGCATTGTTAGCGTTAACATGTGCTTCTAGCGTTTGTCCAAATTTCACATCGAATTTGTAAAATTTTCTGGTTTTGTCCCTATTCATGGAAAATGTGTAGCAGTGTAAAGTATAGTGGCAGTTTAATGGTTCAGTTACAGTTTAAAGTGAGTTTTGAAATGTTGCCATTGTATCCAGTTGTACCAATTTCCGTTTTGTAAGAAACCAAGCCATAGCGCCATTTCAACCTTTGTTTGTGGTCGTCTTTCCGGACCATTTGAAGCAGTTTTTTTGTTCGTGTGGCAGAAAGTTAAACCCCAGTGCAATCCAAGTAACTTTTTTGTGATCAAAATTTAAAGTAAAGATGGACATTTTTTTAATAATAATAACTGCTTTCATACAGGTTAAAAATTGTAATATTTAAATTGTAAATTTTAAGGTGTGACTTTAGCTGTGAATTTATTTGTTCTCAATTTTTTTTTTAATTTAATGTTGACATACATACGACAGCTCGTTTTATTATTCTTGATATTAATTTGGTTTGGTTTTTTAAGAAGGTTATTAACCTCTCAATGTAATTTCATTTAAAAAGATAATTATTTAATTTTAATAATTTATTTCTGCCACAGTTATAGCACAGTAATATTTGTAAGTTTTGTAAACAGATTTTATAAAACAGATAGGACACATGTAAGTTTTTCTTTGTTATTTTTGAACTTTGTAACTGTTAATCTAGTAATTTGTACCATTTAATTTTGTTACTGTTTTTGGTGAGACACAATAAATATTTAAATTTTTTTAACTATTTTGTTTATTTTATCTTCACTAACTCTCTAACTTCTTTTTTGAGTTTTATGTAAAAAGATTTATTTTTTCATTTCTAATAATTATTTCGATAGTTACAACTAGCTGTTGTAATCGTTATAATTTGGCACCTCGAAACAGCGGCTTTTTTAAATTGCTAGAGGTGTTTGTTTTGTTTTGTTTGTCCCAAGACATTCATGTTTGTTCCTCAAAGTACCCCTTTGTTTCATTTTTTTGTAGTTGCCCCAATCCAACGCCCTTCCCATTTACTTATCCACGACCCCAGTTCTCCAAACAAACCGTGAGTGCCGTTAGCACAAGTATCGTTTATTTTGCTTGCCCTATCTCCCCCCCAATAATTTATGTCCCCAATTTTCTACTCCTTACAATAATACCGTATGTGGTAGGAAAAATAATTTCGTTACAAAGCATATTCAGTGATGATAAAAAATTCTAAAAAAATTCAAAGTTATTTTATTATAAATTAATTACATAGAAATAAAAAAGCCAGTCTTCTTGGACGATCACTCCAGTCTTCTTGGACAATCACTGAACTAATTATTTCTTATATCGGAATCATAGCTCTTTCTCGGGTATGGTTTCACTTTCGTCTTCTTCAATATTTCTAAAGTAGTAACTGGTTAGTAATTTATAAACATGGATTATTTCTACAACATATAACTACAAACACAATGATTAGTATTTTTATTAATGTTAAAATGTTACTCAAAAGTAATGTTACTAAATGTTGACCTATACAAATTTAAATTATTACTTAGCGACCAGCAAAGATTAGGATCTTTATTTGTTTAAGACTATTAGAAATGCGCCAAACTCTATAAACAGTAAGCCAATGCACATAATTTTAGGCCAAAGGTGCAGAAAGTAAATGCCATTCTTAAATTAAACAAAATGCGAAGACTTGCGTTGAAATTACAAGGGCGCTGAGAAGCACCAAAACAGCATATATGGGGGCCTACTGGAGCTTCCTCCTCTGCACATCGTTATGGGAAAACGAAAATGGGATATACCGAATACGAGAAAACCTGAGTAACATAATACTCACTTTATGTGACGGAGGAAACACACAACCAAGGCTACATGGTAACACCTTGTATACAGACATGTCTAAACTTGCAGGAGGGTCGGGTGCAAAAATTTACAACAGGAACATGATGGTGTTACATTGTTATGAGCACCTGGTCACCGAGGAATACCCGGAAGTGGAAAAGCTAATAAACTTTCCAGAAGAACATCAGCTGCAACATACTTCGGTCTAGAGCCAGCTTTAGGAGTGCCAGAAAGCACTTTCATCGAACTTAAAATGCCTGATTCCGAACATAACTGTCATTGGGAAAGTATACCCGGTCAAGTACATGACAAAATATATTATGAACATATGCCAGTCAAGATAAACCTGCATTCAATAAGGCTATTTTAAGTAGACTTAAGCTGCAAACTCTGTGGCAGAGAACATGAAACAATCAAACATATTTTTTGGCTCCAAAACAACACTTTTTGGAGACTAATAAGTGACTCCAAAAATATATGGTACCCATCCACTCGACATGTAGAAGAGGGGTTAGGGTTCCATGATTCTAGTATGAGTATCATAAATAAGTGGAAGATATATAACAAGCAATTGGATGCAGTACGACCAGTTTATAATAAATGGTTTCCGGAAAAAAATTGATATATTAATAAATCTTGACTTTACGAGAAACTTTTATACCTGGCCATAATATCAGATTGCTTTAGACATATTAAACTTTTTTAGACTATGTACATTTATTTTAGAATGAATTTAAAATGTATAGAAATAGTAGTAATCATATTTGGACCTATTTACATTTACACTAAAAGAAATAAGCAATAATATAGCATACGAGAAAGAAGTTATTTTCATATAATACCCGAAATAAGTGTTTATACAAGAGATATTTTTACAAGATATTTGTACAAGAGTTTATACAAAAATATAAGAATAGAGTAAATGGATAGTCTATACTTGAAACTTTGTAAAACTATCATAAGAGTGGACTTTTTCTGTTGCTTTATTGCATTACACAACGCTTATTGTTGTATTTTATGCTTTACAGAGTCATCCCATTATAAGAAATGATTGAAATATACAGCAGTTTTTGTTGGTACTGTTTTAGGTAACAAATTAGTGATTATTGTTATCCAAATAATCATTTGGGAGTGGGTTTTATTGTATTTTACTATCCACCAAAAATTTTAATTTTAATTTTAGTACCGATTAACATTTAAGAAAAACGCGCAAATTTCCATCAACTAGGAGAGTTTGATAGGGGGTGGATAGTTAACCTAAAAGAAGCCGGACTTCTTTTAAGGAAATTGTGAAAAGAATTCACAGAAGTTGGGATACTGTATTAGATGCTGAAAGTAATGGCGTCTACGGCTGGTGGCTCTAAATAACTGCTTCTTCACTATAAGGGGTATTGCAAATCAATGGATTGCAGGGCATGGAAGATCAATTGGGGTCCGAACAATTTATCGTCAAATTCGCAATTTTGGAATTTTTTCATTTCGACCACAAAACTCTTACCTCTGAGCTCCGACATACTTGTCTGCAATGGTGCAGAGAACGATTGGCTCGGCACCAAGAATGGAATAGAGTTATTTTTAGTAATGAATCTCGATTCTGTTTAGGTCTGGATCAAAAGACGACGTGATCCACAGTTTTTTGTTCAAATCCAGTGTTTTATGGTGTGGGGTACAATCGTTTATGGTTCAAGGTCATCTCTAATCTTCATCAGATGGAACATGACTGAACACGTGTGGGACATAATGGGTTGAAGACTTTTTATTCAAGGCATCCTCCTCAAACTGTTGGAGCACTTCGGGAGGAATTAATTAGGGCATGGAACAAGATGCACTAGGAGAATATTAACGACCTAATCAGAAGCGACTCCAGACGCATCAAAGAGTGTATTTGTCTACCGAGGTGTATTAACACATTATTAATTGAACTTATTAATACCTCTGTAAGTTGTTTTAATCATATTTAAATATTGATCGTTTATTTATTTTACTACCCTGTCTAATTGTACAAAATATTTCCAAAATTTAATAATTCATTTAGTACATGTTAAATAATTTTTATCCTTGATTTACGATGAGATTACTACTGAGAGAATTTTACTGTCATGATTGGGTGGGGTTGATTTTTAAAGACAAATCAGGTATCATTTTGTCTTGAAGGGCATTCATAATAAAGAGTCAAGTTAATTTCATATAATCAAATGAACTATCTTCCAATAAAATCGTCACAGAAGCGCATTTCAAAACTATTGTCAATATCATTTTAAAAACAAACATAAGCTAATATGGTTGCTGCAAATTATAGTAGTGTTTTTTTATTTCTGTAGATAATTGAAACATATCGTTTGTATATACCTAAACACGTTTAGGTAATTTTATATATTATACTCTTAATTCCTCTGTACGTCATTAATAAGGTTTCTACTTCATCATAGTATAACTAACTGTTTAGAGTTTCCCCAATTAAGCTAATAATTTCGAAATCTACACGAACATTCACGAGTCGTATACATAGATTATTACAGCAGTAAAAATGTGATCATGATTACTTTGTACTTTTAGAATTGTTTTATCTTTATATTCTCAATGAAATAACAAAAATCATAGAAATATGTTTAATTTTGATACTCAAAAATCCTTAATTGATTAAAAAATACTTACTCAAGTGGAGGAATATTAGGAAAAAATATTTTTTTAGGAGTAAGAATATTATGTTGTAAAATAATATTTTATTTTTATTCATTTTTTTAATAAATTATTTGATTTAACTATATCAAGTTTAAAAGCGCGCCCGCAGGATAATAAATAATAATAAATACGCCAACGAACTTTTGAAAATTGATTGTATAATTACTATGTTTATCACTTAAGATAAAAGGGGTAAGCAGTTATTTATTGTTTACGGTCTCCAGAAACATTTAAAAAATAAAAATATAAAACTTACACTAAAGCTCAATATATACAACACCTTAATAAGACGGGTTTTGATGCATGGGACTGAAACCTGGACCTTATCTCAAAATGATGAAAGACTTCTTGGCATTTTTGAGAGAAAAATTTTAAGAAAGATTTTTGGGGCCGTAAATAAAAATGGGCTATGGCGTCGAAGATACAACTTTGAACTATATCAGTTATACACCGATCCAGATATTGTGAAATTCGTTAAAGTGCAGAGACTTACATAGGTTGGATACATTGCTAGGATGTCAGATCACGAATACACGAAGAGATTAACATTTTAAAACCAGATGGCACAAGAAGAGGAGGAAGACCACGAAGGAGATGGATTGATGATGTAAAAGAAGACCTGCAGATTCTAAGAGTCAGAAGATGGAGGGAAGTAGCCAGGAATCGACAAGAGTGACGACTTCTTTGTAAGCAGGCCAAGATCCATAACGGATTGTCGAGTCATTTATGATGATGTGTTATGTATTGTATTTTTAAAAACTACTGTTCTTCTTCTTTTTATGTAGACGTGACTGTTTTTCAATGTACCTCCAGTAAGTTGTCGTTCCATCGTTTACGTGTTCTTCCTACTGATCGTCTTCCTAATGGGGAACCGTCTCTTGCTATTTACTACGCTATTTGATGCATTCGACTTAAATGATCGTTCCATTCTACTCTTCTATTTCTTACACAGTCCTTGATGTTCTCCACTTTGCATCTACGTCGTATATCTGTACTTCTAGCTGTGTTCCATAGTGTTTTACTATCAATGTTCTAAATGTTTTTATCTCTGCTATTTCTTACATCCTTTCTGTCCAGGATTCAGGGAATCTTCATATCTTATACCATTGCCACCTTCAACAGGGTCAGTTAATTCTTCTTCTGCCTTTACTTTTATTGTGTTGTTTTGGTGTATATTTTTGATCGTTTTGATTATTCCTAGAGGTATCTTTCTTGCGCACGTTGGTGATAGGACGAGGTCTCTTTTGGTCCATAGATAAATAAATAATCCTTAATAAAATGTATTTAAATTCACTACATTATTTTATGATTTATATAGAGTAACGAGTAATGACTATCTGATTTAGATATAGTAACGAGCGTTAACTGAACTTATATGTAAACAATATAGGCAAGGGAAATAAGCAAAGTACCTTGTTTATGACAATGAACTATCTATCAGCAAAAAGCGAAGCATTTGAACAAATTTAAAAGTAACAAACTTATAAAGTCATATAAAAATCTTTAAAATGGCGTAAGTTGCAAAATAAGTCAGAAATTTCGGTTTTTTATAAATATTAATGAACTTTTAAAAAAAATTAACTTAGAACTTTCACATTGCACAGAATGTTAAGACTTGTAGTGCTTAAAATTGGTTCAAAATTTCAAAGCGATCGGCCAAACGGTTTAAAAATTATTTCATTTGTTTATTAAAAATTAATTTTTTTTGTAACAATATAAGTCAGAGAGTGATGACGTTACAGTGATTCTACGGATAGATTATAAAAGAAGAATGATCATTTTATCAACTTTATTAAAAAAATCAATTTCTTGCTTATAAACAATTACAATAACTTTTTAAATGTTGCCTGCAGGAAAATTATTTTTTCATAC